TTAACCAATGTCATAAAACAGCATGTGTGTTACTGTTACATGAGAAACTATCTGTTCTGTAAGCCTTCACCTGAAGTACAATAAAATATTTAAAAAAAAAATAATGTTTGAGTATGAATTGTGTAATTTGTTTTGCATTGATTACTGTGACCATCTCCTATCCAATCTTCTGGCTTCTGTTCATCCTACCTACCACCAGAAGGTTTATAAGGCCTTTGACAATAAAAATGCATTCATGAAAAAAAAAAAAAAAAAAAAAGGTCATCCAAGGTTGACAAGGGAGAGAGTGACATGTCGTGGGGTTGTTAACCAATGTCATAAAACAATATGTGCACTGACTGTTTAATGAGAAACTATTTGTTCTGTAAACTTTGGTCAAAAGTACAATTAAAAAAAAATAGAAATGCTATCCCAAAAAAATAAATAAATAAAAGACTTCACCAAAAGAGTAAAAAGAGAACCTACAGACTGGAAAAAAATTTTTGGCCATGACAAATTCGACAAATGTCTAATCTTTAAAATCTACAGGAAAATCCGACACCTCTACAACAAAAAGACAAATAATCCATTTAAAAAATAGGGAAAGAAAATGAACAGACACTTCACCAAAGAATACATTTAAGTGGCTAACAGACACATGAGAAAATGCTCGCAATCACTAGCCATTAGAGAAATGTAAATCAAAACTACAATGTGATACCATCTCACCCTGACATTATTGGCACGAGTCAAAAACCGGAAGATTAAAATGTTGGAGAGGCTGCAGGGAGACTGGAACTCTTATGCACTGAGGGTGGGAGTGCAAAATGGTACAACCATTTTGGTAAATGATATGGCACTTCCTTAAAAAACTAGAAATAGAAGTACCATACAATCCAGCAAACCCACTCCTAGGAATGTATCCTAGAGAAATAAGAGCTGTCACATGAATAGACATATGCACACCCATGTTCATTGCAGCATTATTCACAATAGCAAAAAGATGGAAACAACCTAACTGCCCATCAACAGATGAATGGATAAACAAATTATGATGCATACACACAATGGAATACTACATAACAATAAAGAACAAAGATGAATCTGCGAAACATCTCACAACATGGATGAATCTGGAGGGCATTATGCTGAGTGAAATAAGTCAATCACAAAAGGACAAATATTGTATGAGACCACTACCATAAAAACTTACGAAAAGGTTTACACACAAAGAAACAATCTTTGGTGGTTACAATGGAGGAGAGGCGTGGGGAAAGAAAAGCAATAAATAGACAATAGATAAGGGGTAACTTTGGTGAAGGGTAAGACAGCACACAATACTGGGGAATCCAGCACAACTTGAACGAGGCAAGGTCATGGAAGCTTCGTAGACACATCCAAACTCCCTGAGGGACCAAATTACTGAGCTGAAGGCTTGGGACCATGGTCTTCGGGAACATCTAGATCAACAGGCATAACACAGTTTATAAAGAAGATGTTTTACATCCGACTGTGATGAGCAGCGTCTGGGGCCTTAAAAGCCTGCGACATGTCATCTAAGATACACCTACTCTTCCCATCCCGGCTGAAGCAAACGAGAATGAAGAAAACCAAAGACACAAAGAAAAGATTAGTTCAAAGGACTAACGGACCATGACTATCACAGCCTCCACCAGACTGAGCCTAGAACAACTAGATGGTGTCCGGCTACCACCACCGACTACCCTGACAGGCATCACAATAGAGGTCCTGGACAGAACTGGAGATAAATGTAGAACACAATTCTAACTCACAAAAAAAGACCAGACTTAGTGGTCTGATCGAGACTGGAAAAACCCTGAGAATATGGCCCCCTTTTAACTCAGTACTGAAGTCACTCCTGAGGTTCACCCTTCGGCCAAAGATTAGACAGGCCCATAAAACAAAACAAGACTAAAGGGCACACCAACCCAGGGGCAAGGACAAGAAAGCAAGAGGGGACAGAAAAGCTGGTTATGGGGAGCCCAAGGTAGAGAAGAGGAGAGTGTTGACTTGTTGCGGAATTGGCAAGCAATGTCACAAAACAATATGTGTATTAATTGTTTAATGAGAAACTAATTTGCTCTGTATACCTTCATGTAAAGCACAATTAAAAAAAATCAGCCATTGAAAACCTTATGGAGCACAGTTCTATGGGTCTCCATGAGTTGGAGTCGACTTGACAGTAACTGGTTTGGTTTTGGTTTTATAATACTATTTTAATTTTTTAAATCTGTAAATGCATTATTTTGATAAAACTTAAATTATTGAAAAAGAAACTGGCAGTACAAAAGGAGCTAGACTGGAAACCACCAAAGTTATTCATCCTTTCAAACATGTCTCACTCTCCTTACCTGACTTCACCCTCTGTGCCTAAGAATCCCACTCCTTCACTCCCAGATAAGCAAGAAGAGAACATACTTACCACCTAGAAATGCACACTCATAATGGCTGCAGGTCTTGTTCGTGCTTTGAAGGATAAGGCTATTGCCAGCCCCTTCCTGTGACACATGAAATACCTCATTCAGAGGTACTAAAACAATTCTTTCACTTTCTTTATCCAAAAAGTTTTCAATGGAAACTCCAAAGCATGTGTTGATGGTTAGCAGGCTATGCGGGTCACTAACAGCTTGAGGTATGGCTGGATATGCCAAGGTGAAACGCCCAAACCTGGCTTGGTTTAGTCCTCCAAATAAAAATGAAGTACCCTGGCTTATACTATACACCACATTTTTGTAGGTGTCCTCACAAGGTCTTCTCAGCAACTGCAGGGCTCTTGTCAGGTAAAAATGAAAAGCTTTGAACTGGAAACTATAGATATAATCTTCTCGAGATTGGCCAGCCATCTTTACAGCTTCATTGAACATGTGGTAAAAGGGAGTTTGCTCTTGAGCTTGAGAAATGTATGCCATAAGGGCTATTCCATGGTTATCCTTAAAGTTCATAGGAAGAAAGAGCTGAGTCTTCTGAGCTTCCCATTTGGCTTTTGCATTTTCCCACACAGTCTCCAAGAGCTGATGGCTTGCTATTTCCTCCTTAAGCAGGTGGGGAACATATTTGATCTCCATCCTGTTAGTGCATTTCAGGTATTCATCATCAAATGCATTATCTGCCATGTCTAATATTTCAGCCTTCACCTGCAAAGAGAAAGGAAATTAATACTCTTGAAATAAGATATTATTTTCTCTCACATTACTATCCCTCACACTTTTATCTCTGGCCAAGAATCTCTCCTTGTTTACAACTAACTTTGGATATGTTTTTACATAGGAAGTATACTTCATTGCTATTAATAACTTTTCTCAGTTGTACATAATTGTATGAAAGAGTAAATGTTAGTGGACAAGGTGTGTAGAGTTGTGCCTATTACTCACTCCTTTGAACATTGTGGTACAGAGGAAGGAGCAAGGAGTGTGAAATTGAATTAACTGGGTGGCAGTCCTGGCTCTGAACAACATTTTTAGCTATAGTTCTTCAACCCCTTCAGACTGTTGGGAGAATCTCAATGGTAAAGAACTGGGCTGCTAACCAAAAAGTTGGCAGTTCGAATCCACTAGCTGCTCCTTAGAAAATCTATGGGGCAGTTCTACTCCATCCTACAGAGTCACTATGAGTCGGAACCGACTCGATAGCAACGAGTATTTGGTTATGTGAGAAATACTGTAAGTGATAAATACACATTGGCAAGTATTATCCTTTTTCCTTTGGGGACACTCCCTCTCTTGTCCATGTGGTTTAGGCAGATCTGAGTCTTTATTTCCAGGCCCCTAAATAAGCAGGTGACCCAGGCTTAGCAATCAGAGCACTCTCAGAAAAAAATGTCTCTTCCTCTAAAATCATAAGCTGTAAGGAGGATATTGGCTTAGGGATGCCAACATTTAGCCTTTTGGTCCCATGGAGAATCCTGTCTGAAAACAAAGCCAACAAAGAAAGGGTTGCAGATAAGGTCCCAATAACATTACCTGAGGCTCTGAATCAAGCTGTACCTGAAGACTTTGTTTTTACCCCTGAATTTTGTTTATAGTCATAAGAATCAATAAATACCCTATTTGCTCAAGCTAGTTTGAATTGTGTTTCTGTCATATAAACTGAAAAAGGTCTAATATATCTCTAAATGATACATATGTACACATACCATAAGAAGCAAGGTGATATAATGTAATTAACATTGGCCTGAAGTTGGACAGGTTTAGGTTCAAATCCCATATCCATTACTAACTAGGTACTAATTAAGTATGGAAAAGCTCCTTGTCCTTTCTAAGCTTCTATTTTTCTCATCTAAAAGTGAGGATAAGGGGGAAATGATATCTACCTTGCAGGATTTTTGTGAGAAATAAATTACCTAATGAATATGTGCAAAGCCTTTAGCCTCATGGCTAGCACATACCAAGCCTTCAACAAATTGTTATTTTTATTAATTCACGAGAGGAGTGTCTGTTATTATACTGTAAGTTCTTTAAGGGCAGGACTTGCATCATATTTACCTTCGAATCCCAAGCTCTTACATAGCACCTGGCAAAATATTTAAGTGAATTAGCTATTAAAAACCCTGTGATCTAGCCTATGGATCAAAGAAATAGGGTTAGCAACACTGCACAAGGACACCCTTTTCGGGTTTCTGCAAGTAAAAGGATAATGTCTCTGTGGTGAAATGAGCTTCTTTATGCGGCCTTCTGCCTTGGTTCTTTGGAAAAACAGCTTGAGAGATTTTTCCCCTAAGCCCTGAGGAGTTACCTTTGCCCTAGTTTTCTACCCCAGAGGGTTCGTTACATTTCCTAGGTAAGCTGTAAACAACTTGGTTTGATATTTTTTGTCTGGTCCTGGGCTGCAGCCTGCCCCTGATTGGTAAGCATTTTGCAGGGATTGGTCAATATACTATGCAAATTAAGTGACTACAGACTATGTAACTGAAGTTATTATAGCCTACTCTGTATGAAGTGTCTGTGGCCTACTAAGAGGGGATTGTCAGTTTGTGGCTCTGATGGGAGGGCCATGCCTTAAAATTGATGAGGAGTTTGTGTATATATGCAGCTAACCCCACAGAAGTTTTTCAGACAGGAAGCAGGAAGCAGAAAGGAGAAAAGGCAAGACAGAAGAAGTAGAGAGGAGGCAAGAACCTCCTAAAAGAGCTGTAACACAGATCAAGGGCTATAACACTGAAGAAAATGACAAGTCTGGAAAAGGACCTGCAGCAGAGCTGGTGGCAACAGGCCTGAAAGGGCCCCTGCGGCAGAGTCAACGGTGACAAATGGCAGGGCCAAAAGGAGCCTGTCCTGAGGGGGCCTAGAGGAGGCCTGCATGGCTGAGATGGGGCATGCATGGCAGAAAGAAGGGCCTGCTTGCTTGCCTGCGTGGCTGAGAGGAGCTGAGAGAGCTTCCCTGCACCGAAGAAGGGAGACTTTGCCTATATGCTTCCTGATCCTGATCTCAAGTTGTAACCTGGTGATCCTGATCCTGAGTTGTATCCAGTTACTTCCTTAATGAACCACTTAACTGTAAGTATGGTCTGTGAGTTTTCTGTGGCCACTGCAATGGATTATCAAACCCAGAAGAGAAGTAGAGAGTGCCGTGGGAGGGACAGCTGGTGTCAGAATTGGTAAAAAGGTTGAAGAGTAGAGGTATGCCTGACCTCCACCTCATGGGAATCAGCCTTGGGCTGATCCTTGTCATTATCCCCCCTGAAGTTCGACAGGTTCTAATGCTACTACCACCTTTTTATAGTCCCCCACCCCATCCTCTCTTCCTATTAGTCTATACTTGCATGGTTCATAGTTGCATAAGTCTGCTTAGGGACCTCAGCTGGAGGCTTTATAGACACACTTAGCCAGAAGCCGTTAAAGTTGCAGCCTCCATGTGAATGATTCTTAAAGTGTGTGTGTGTGTGTATAAGAGAGACAGAGAGAAAAAGAACAAAACAAAAACTTGATCCCATATCCTACTGTGGCTATCTCCTTCCTACTATCTCTTTTCTCTCCATCACAAACTTCTTAAAAGAGTTGTCTATCCTTGTCATCTCCATTTCATTCACCGCTCATTTCAACCCTCTCCAATCTTCTTTCCCACCCCCATTCCTCTGCCAAAACAGATTTCACTAAGGGGACATTTCTTTGTAGACTCCTTTACAGATCCACATTTTCTAGCTAGCCATTTAAAGCTGGAGTTCCTCAGGCTGCTTATTTTCTAACTCTCAATTCTACCTCTAGGCAATTACATAACGGGCCCACAGTTTCAATTATCATCTAAATGCCTCTGTCCTCTCCTGTAGGTGCCAGACCTCTATATCAACTACTTACTTGATACGTCCACTTGAATTTCTCAACGACCCTCCAAATGTAACACGTCCAAGACCAAACTCACAATGTTACCACCTACAACCACCACCACCACCACCAACCTGACCTTTATTTAAGACCCTCTATCCATTTGTGGGAAACCCTGGTGGCATAGTGGTCAAGAGCTATGGCTGCTAACCAAAAGGTCAGCAGTCCGAATACACAAGCTGCTCCTTGGAAACCCTATGGGGCAGTTCTACTCTGTCCTATAGGGTCGCTATGAGTTGGAATCGACTTGGCGGCAACAAGTTTGGTTTTTTCATCTATTTGTGAGGAGCCCTGGTGGCGCAGTGGTTAAGAGATGTGGCTGCTAACTGAAAGGTCAGCAGTTTGAATCCACAAGGTGCTCCTTGAAAACCCTATGGGGCAGTTCTATTCTGACCTGTAGGATCGCTATGAGTTAGAATTGAATCAATGGCAACGGGTCTGGTTTAACGGCTATCTGTTTGTGAAGTTTTCCTAGATCCTCCTTCTCAGTCACCCCCTGTAGTCAGTCCATCACTAAAGCCTAACAAACTTCTCTAGAGAGCTTTCTACATGCCAGGCATTAAGTGCTTCACATGTATTAATTCATCTAATTCTCATGGCAACTCCTGTGAGGTAGAAACTATTATTATCCCCTTTTTATAGATGAGAAAACTAAAACAGAGAGATTGAATAACTTGCCTGGAACTGTGATTTGAACCCAGGCAGTTTGGGTCCAGAGTCTGTCCTCTTATCTAAACTATTCTGTTACTGCTAATGAATGAGAGTGTTTGCACTGATGAAGACCACTGACATTTATGTAGCACTTGTAACTTTTCAAAGAGCTTAATTTTGTCTTCATAACAACTCTTACGAAAGATTGGGCAGACAATCATTAGCATAATTTTACAAATGAGAAAACTGCGCCAGCATAAGAAACTGTCTTGATTACCAGCCACAGAATATTATGCTAGAGAAGTCATTGAGATTCCTGCACTCCTGGGTTTGTAGGTCAGTTCTTTGACATGGGAATTTGAGCTTCAGGAGATCAAATCACTGCTTACTCTTAGCCAAGAAATACACTTTCCTCTGCAGCACAGAATGTACCAGACTGCAATAACTGATTTATCTTCAAGACTTCAACAAGGTATAAGACATCATATCCTAAAACCACCTCCCACATTCCTCACATCATATCAGAGTTAATCCAATGTGTTCATGTCTTTTCCCAATGACTCTAACCAGTCTCTGCATGTCTAATTTTAGTCCTCAAGCCTTTCTGGCCAGAGGCCACAGCTGATTGTTCTGTACAGTGAGTGACTTGACCAGTGACAAAGCTCACAAATGCCACTACCATTCAGGAATGACAACTCAATGGACACTAACAAGCAGGTACAAAAGGCTAGGTGAACAAGCTGATTATATATTTTCTTCATCTGGTTTATCCACTGAAACAAAAATTCATACTCATGAAATTTAATCACCAAAAATTTATTACAAAAAATGTGGAAATGGCCTAAATGATAAAGAGGAGAAATTGGTTAAATTTCTCTATGAAACATTCATAGAACAAACACATTAATATTATGTTGGGGAAAAAAAAAACCAAACCCGTTGCCGTGGAGTCGATTCTGACTCATAGTGACCCTGTTGCACAGAGTAGAACTGCCCCATAGGATTTCCAAGGAGTAGCTGGTGGGTTTGAACTGCCAACCTTTTGGTTAACAACCACATGCTTAACCACTGCACCACCAGGCCCCATAAAATTATACTACAACCCGGAAATTACACTCCTCGGTACATACCCAAAAGACTTGAAAGCAGAGACTCAAAAAGAGTGT